CTCTTATCTGTAAAAACAACTCGATTCTAATCAAAATTCTTATATTTTTTTGTTCATTACAACCTTTTCTTTCAATGGTCTTCTTTAAGTAAAGGTTTAAAATTTTTATTACTAAACTTTTCTTCAGACTTACGAAGACATCGCCTTACTGTTTCTACACTAAGCCCAACATCTCTTTCTTCCATTTTTTCTTATATTTGAAATTATGTTCTTTCTCTGCTATCTTTACAATCTTGTCATCTTATTTCGTAAATATTACACAAAGCTATCCTAGTCTTTTTAAAGTACTTAGGTCTTGATTTTCATGAATTTTTTAACCTAATAAATAGTTGTAGACTTACTACAACGTATCTGTTTAACAATAAATCTAAAACTAAATTTTGGATCAGCTGGGTATTCACGTAAAAAGACAATTTCATATTGTTTCTCTAAAGAAAGTCCTATTTTTTAAGCGAAAGTTTGATAATCATCTAAATTTTTTTTTTGTATTATTGACACTTATAAATTTACAAGTAATCATGTATTGTATTACATTATATTTTTGAAAAATTTAAGGAGTAGTTATATAATAATTTTGGATGATCTTGGGCAGTCAGATACTTATGATCGCTATTGTATAATATCAGATTTAAAATAAATAAAATATCATTCTATAATTATACTAATTTTAAAATAAAGCTATTTAAATATTATTTATCTTGATAATTTTTAACATAAAATACTATACCTATAATTAGAATTGGAAAGTTAATATAGTTAATATAATTTAATACAATTAGTATATATAATAATTAATATAAAAAATAGTATAGTATAGTATAAATACAAAATCAAAATTTATTTAATATATATAAATTTCCTAACTCTATCTATAATATTACCTTTCATCTTTTATAATCTAAGATAAATTATCACAATAATTTTTTATAGTTTGATTAAAATGATCATTTACTATTATTTTATTTTATATTTAAAATGCTATTTATTAGAAAGCTAAAGATTTATAATACGTAATTTTTCACTTCTCAAATTATAACCAAAACTCTATAACATTTAATTCTCTATCTTCTTAAATTATATAATTAAGGCTTTATAATATTTAATTTTTCATCTTCTCAAACTATATAAATAAAGTTTTACAATATTTGATTCTTCATTTTTATATTAAGATTTTATAATATTTAATTCTTTTACAATAATAAACACTTTAACTTTTTATCCCAACTTTTTTATTTAATTTTCTCAATTCCTTTAGAGTAAAGAATCTTGTTAAAAATAGTTAATAAATAGTTTGATATTAATTTAATTCTTTATTATATTTAAAGTTCTAGATTCTTCATATTGAACTATCTAATTTAAAATTGATATTTACCAATTAATCTTAATTAATTACAAAGTTTTTTAGATTAAGAACTTTATGTTTAATGCATCCAATAATAAAACCTAAAATTCTTATCACTTTTAATGAAAGACAATTAAGTATACTAAAATTTTGAATATGAAATAACAAAAAACATGTAATTGAAAATAATAGCTTCATTAAGTTTCATAACTGTGAATTTTATATTAAATTGGTATTATTACATTAAAAAATTAGATATATGATAAATAAGGGTTTAACAAATAGTATAATACTTAATAAAAACTAAAAAGTGGTGGGATGTGATTCTAATGACAAATAATTTATCACTATTACAGATTAATTCTATACAACTTCTCATGTAATCATCAAAAAACGCAATCAGTGACATTTTGGTCTGCATTATGCAACTGTATGTGATAATGCCAGATTTACCGGTGACAAATAGACGAAGAAATGCGAAAGGCGTCAGACATATACTTTTGACGAACACAGCCCGTAAAAATGGTAGCCAGATTTTATTTGCCGGGTATTTATTATTAGGGTTAGTATACGAGTTAGAGTTTGGATTAGGATTAGGATTAGGGTAGAATTAGTATTATTTTAAGAGGGTTAGCAAATTTGTCACATCGCGTCACATCCCAGCTGTTCTTCAATTTACTAAGTATTTTGAGAGAAAAAATGCTAATTGTCACAATTATTTTCACCCCTAATAAGTATATGTGACCCGGCAAATAAAATCCGGCTACTATTTTTTACGGGCGACGCTGTGTACGTCATATATTTTATTATTATCACGTGACTGAGATTTTTTTTTGGTGGTTACGCTGGGAAAATCCGTTTTATACATCTCCTAAATAGGGAAGATCTATATTAGATCATCGATCAGATTTCATCCAATAATAATAATTAATCGAATGAAATTTTTTTTTTTTTTTTCGAAATCATTTTTCCAATCAAAAAAAAGTTCGTTCTGGGCAAGTGAGTTTTTACTCTACAGTTGGCCGCTTTATAAAAACGTTTAAAAAATTTGTAATATGTTATATCATACAAATTCTCTTTTTGTCTCAGGCTTGATTTTAATTTTCTTCAATTGTATCTTTAAAACTATTTTTCTTACAAAAAGAATCAAAACTAACTTTCAAATATCTTTCAAAGTTTAGCTTATTTTCTTCACTGTTAAAATTATATATTTTCTAATAAAGTTTAGTTGGAAGAAATGTCTCCTACAACAAGACAAATTGTTTCTACAAAAAATAATAATCCACGAAAAAACAATTTCACCGAGAAAAGTCCTGTAACGGTTAATCAGAAGTCCAATATGGTTAAACCAAAAAAGCAAGATTCTACATACCAACCCAAACATTCACGTAAACCATCGAATCAATTCAAGGATAGAAAGCAAAATCAGGTTCAAAATAATAATAAGGATAATGAGGATAATAAGTATACAAAGCAGAAAGAAAACGTTGAAAATGTGGATAATGTTAAGTTGGAAATTCAAAGGGTATTAGGTGGCCGATTTATTGATCGTCCTGTTGTGTTTTCAAAGGATTCTAAGTGAGTAATCGGTTTTTTCTTTTTAACATTAATAGGTTAACTTGATTATTTATATTAGTAGGCGAAGAAAATAATCATTTGTTGATTATATTCAACCAGTTTAATGATAATAAACCTTCGTTTGTATTAATTCAAAGTAGAATTAATTGTAATATATTAATTAGCATATTCAAATTGTTCTCCAATTAATTAAATTGTTATTATTTTTTAAAAGCAATAATTGCTTTGGAATAATTATATTTATTTAATCGTATATGTTCACATTGAATCATCGTATATTTAATTAAGTCGTGATTATATTAATTGATTAAGGCCAATTAATAAATTATTCTTATTTTATTCTCTTATCGACTGCTTTTAGATATTTTTTCTGTTGTTGCTCAAACTCCGTTAAAGTTGTCAGCGTTGAAACTGGTGAAATTATAAAAACATTTTCCATTTCACCAGAAGAAATTGGAAGTCATAAGAAAGATGTAACATTTATAAAGATGGATCCAAATAACGATGACCAGGTAAATTATTTCATACATTAAACTTTTTACCATTGACTATTTACAGGCAAACAATTCACTTATTTATATCTATTCATGTTACTTAGTTATACTCTGCTTCTTTAGATGGCACAATCAAATTGTGGAATTATACACGTCTTATAAGGGTATAAATATATTTCTCTGTCCAAAAAAAAAAATAATAATTACTTAAAATTAAATTGATTAAATGCACAGGAATATTATGTGGGTTTGCCAATCCTCCGAATGGAGATGCATGCCGCACATCCAAATCAATTTTTTATTGTAACCCCCGAACCTCAAAAGCCTGATCCAAAGACAGGTACTAATATAAATTTTATTATATTTGAAAAAGAAAAAATTTTAAAATATTAAACGCTTCATAACTTTTTATCGCGTCGATTATATTAACAGGCTTACGAAATAAACAAGAGAAGCATGCATTGTTGTATATCAAATTTGATAAGCAAGCAAACATTATTCAGAGCTCTCTTATATGTAAATCTAACAGTACATGTACTGGCTTAGATATTAGTGAAAATGGAGATTTTCTGGTTATTACTTTTGTTCAAACAATTCGAGTAATTGATTTGAAATCGATCAATGACACATCAAATCAGGCATGGCCAAAGTAAGACCCGATTTTTTAATGTGAAATTTTTTTTTTTTTTTTGAAATTTCATTCATTTACATTTCGATATTTAAATCTTCACTGTATGATTAGATATATTCATCCAACGAGTATTTCTTGTGTTGCAATTAATTCACATAAGGGATTTATCGCTATTGGTGATATTGCTGGCAAAATTACTTACTGGTATATAATTTGAGAATTTCGCGTTTTTACATGAAAACTCATTCCCTATTATATTGCCATTTTTTTCTAATTTCCTTAATGTCTTATTATAAAGGTATTGTCTTGACAAATTGCAACTAGAAAATCCTGTAACATCTGAATTTCATTGGCATGCACATAAAGTTAATTCCCTCGTTTTTTCGAGTGATGGTAAATGTTTTTGTCATTCTTATTGATTAGATTAAAAAAAAATTTTTTTTATTTCCTGCTAAAGTAAAATACCCACCATTAAATTTTAGGTAATTACTTAGTATCTGGCGGAGAAGAAGCCGTTCTTAGCATTTGGCGAGTTGAAGATGGTCACGTGATGTTTGTTCCTCGACTTGGCGCCGAAATTACCAGTATCTCGATTAGCCTTGACCAGGCTACGTATGCTGTTGGTTTATTGGATAACTCAATAAAATTGATTTCCATGATTAATTTTTCATTAAAGCGGGCTTTACAGGGGTTAAAATATAGTAAGCTCACGTAGTGTGAAATTTTTCTTTTTTAAAATATTATCAAAATTTTAATTTAACCTTATTAAATTATAACTTGGTTCAATAATTTTTAGAGCAAAATGAGTCTTGTACAAATCCGTTGTCCACTGGCCTTGTCTTGGAACCTAAGAACCATGATGTCGTCCTAAATGGCCTTCCTGGAACTATTCAGTTTTACAACGTTTACTTGGATAGACATGTAATGGAACTCGAAATTTCGGTAACGAATAGGGTATCGAGAACTTTCGAAAAAGAAATCGTTCGTCACTCTGTAAAGCACGTTTGTTTTTCTAAAAATGGGAATTGGATGGCAACGGTAAATTCATGTTGACAATTTTTATTATTTGAAATGCCATTATTTTATGAAATTGGTTATTTTAACAATAAAGTTTTCATATCGATGAATACATAATAGATTGATGCAAGAAATGATGGAGTAAACACTCCTGAATTATACTTGAAGTTTTGGCATTTTGATCCAAATTCACATAATTATCAGCAGCATTGTCGTATTGATTATCCTCATTCTGAAGATATTTTGTCATTATGTTTTCACACTGGCACAAACGACAATGATCCAATTTTTATTACGACTAGTCTTGACACAAAGTTTAAAATATGGCAACTTAATAAATCGAACGATGATGATTCCATCGAAGCAGGTGAGATTCATTTCCTTTGCTCTTATTTATTTTGATTTAACTATAACCTAAATTTTTTATTTAGCCGTTTGGGCTTGCGGCTTTATTGGTTCCTACAAAAAATTTATTCCAAGAATGGCTGCTGTTTCTAAAGACGGAGCTGTACTCGCAGTTTCATTTAATAACACAATAACTTTATGGGACGCTTGTAAATTTAAACTTAAGCGAACTTTACAGTGTATGCCTAGTAATGAAAATGTGAAGCATATTTTATTCACTAATGACGAGCCATTTCTTGTATCGACAACGGATACATTTCTTTACGTTTGGAATCTACTTACATGTGACGGTGAGTATATAACTTATATGTCAATTTGATAAATACTTTAAATAGTTAATCGAATATCGCGCCTTGGCAAATTATTGTGTATTTATCAGTTTGGTATAGGCATATATTAGAAGTTGAACTAGTCGCTCTGGATCCAAACAGCTCCGATTTTGTGGTTGCTTGGAATAACAGATTTTTGAAAGGTAATTAATATAGTTTTATGATAAAGTATATATTATAATCTAAATCCTTTTTTTCAACAATTATAGAATGCCAGCTTATGATTTTTAATCCAAGGCATAACGATCCTTTAAGAGTTCATAAAATGAAGCATGTTGTTGAGTCATTGACTTACTTGCCTAGACGTTCAGATGACTTAGAGGAATCATTTCCTGGACAGAAATCTGATATATTATATATTACTGAAAAGAATGACATGCATGTTTTAAATGAACTTTCGCCAATTAAGCCTAAGGTTTGTCGAATACTATTTTTTAATCTAATTATTATTTAAAATAGAATTCCTAATCAGAAATTCTTTTTTATATAGGTATCATCTCAGAAGTTGGAATCAACATCGAATTCTTATTTCTCAGATATTTTTGGTAACAAAGCGGAAATTTCGGTGCAGAAATGTGTTTTGTGATTAGTTTGTTTGCTCTAAAAAAAATAAAAAAAAAATTAAATTTAAATTTAAATTAGACGCCGTATTTATAGCTATAGTTTATCTATTAGTATAATTGCATTCGAACAATAAATATTAATAGACGTTTATTCCTAAATACTCTTATTTAATAAGTGATCGCCTATTAATAAATCTTAAAAAAAATATTGATAATAAACATAAATTGTTTTTTAATAAATTCATTTAAAGATTTATTCAAATTCTTTTTAAGAAATGATTTAAGACATATTTAATTTATTTATAATAAGATTTTTATAAGTATCATTTTACACTTTTTATATTTTACATATATAATATTAATTTACACTTTTTATTTTAAAACTAATAATAATATTTTTTTATTTATATAATACAATTTTTTATTATTACTATAAAATAATTATTATAAAAAAAAAATTTATATTTAATATATTTATATAGATTAAGTAATAGAAACTGTTAGTAAATTTAGAGTGAAAATTCTTATAAAAATATGTGATTTAATAATTATTTAAATAGAAAATAACAAAATTTACATCTTAAATTTCATTATCCTAATTGGATTTGATTTATATAACAATCCAATTATACTTCAATACGAATTGACAATTACTAATTAAATTGTATTTTGACAGACTATTATTTTATTAATAATTTATAATAAATGTTAAATTGACTTAATTAATTTTGATAACATTAAATACTAAATTACCATAAAATTTGATAATAATAAAATAATAGTATAGATTGTTTTGCTAAAAATAAGTTTGGTTTTTAATAATAATAGGTAAAAGAATAATTGATATGATATACAAAAATTTATTAAAAATTTATTTTTTTTTTTTTATAGAAAATTTAAATAATAATTTTATTTTTATTTTTTAAGATAATAATGTTTCTATATATAAAGCAAGTATAATACTTAAGTTAAAAGAAAAAATTAATATTTTTTCTTCTAAATTATTTAAAGCTTTGATCTTAATTCAATTGAATATTTATAGGATTATTTGAAAAGAAAGTACTCAAACATAAATTTTAACAAAAAATAAGCTAAAATTTATTATAATTTTACAGAAAAAGTGATTACAAATTAATGATAATATTTTGAATATTTAAGTAAATAGTAAGTCTTAAAAAATTATAACTGTAATTAAAAATAAAAGAAATCTTACAATTTATTAATTATAAATTTAGAAAATTTATAAGTAGAAGATTTTAGTAATATAAATTTTATTAAATATTACAAATAAAGTTTTTGAAAATTTTGATTTGAATTTTAGTTAATTGTTATAAAAATGAAATTATTTGAAACTATTAAATACTTTTGATAAGAAATATATATAATCTTATCATATTTTTTTAATAGATAAAAAAAGTATATCAATAAAAAAAATATTAAAAAAAATATTCTTTTATAATATTTTATTTTAAAAAATTATTTTATATTAATTTTAATATTATAAATCTATTTATGCTAAAAAATTTATCATTATAATAATAGTCTTAATAATATAATAAGATATTTTAAAAATAATTACAGTTATTTTAAAAATATTTATATTTAGAAAAGTCATTATTTTTTTTAGAAAATAATTATAAAATGAAAAAATTTTTTTTTTTTAAAATACATTTGCTTATTATATGTTAATAAAATTTAAAATGTATAATAAAATCTTTTTTGTATTTAATAAAATGCTTATAATAAGAAGATTTGTTAATTTTTTTGATTATTGAAGAAAAGTATAATACATTTAATTTTATATTGTATATAATAATTTCATTTTTAAAAAATAAACTAAGAATATAAAATAAATATACAGATTTTGTGATATAATAATAAAGTTTAAAATATAAAATATAATAAAATTTAATAATCTAATAAAGTAATTAATATAAATAATACTTTAAAAATAGTAATCATATAAAAAATAAATTTAGAAATAAAAACATAATACATTTTTGATAAGATTTTAAAGTAAAATTACTATATGTATATATATAAAAAATAATAAGAAATTTTATCTTAAAATTTATTAAATCAATTATGTAAAATAAAAACTAGAATATAAAGTTATAACAAATTTTAATAATTAAATAAAATAAAGTTATATATAAGAAAAAGAAAAATTTTTATATAATTAAATTATCTTATTATTATAATTGAAATAAATATAAAAACAGAATTACAAATTTAATTTATTTTTAATAATTAGATAAATTATAAAAGAAAAAATTGTAAAATTAACATTATATATCTCATCCTAAGTTATAAAAGATAGGATTATAAGTTCAAATATTATATATCTTATTTTTAGTATATAAATAAATTATAAAAAAAAGATATATACTGTATATTATTATATTAACATAATTTAATTCAAATCATTAGTAACTAAACTATTTGCTTTATATTTAAATATACAGTTTGATACAAAAAATTGAGAGTAAAATATATAACTTTGATATTAATAACTTATAATTATTATATTTCTTTTAAAGTTAAATTTTTTTAACATATTAGAATCTGATCTTAACATTATAAGTTCAATTACTTTCAATAAATATGTATTGATTATTATTATTTTTGCATTTTTAAGCTAAAAAAATGGTTTAATAAACATTTAATAAATAAAATTTAAAATTGTTTAAAGGTTAATATTAGCAGATAAAAGAGAAAAAATTATTAGAATTCTATACAAAAGTTAAATCTTTTTCAAATATTAAAATAATCTTATAATATAAACACTTATAATATCATAAGCAGATAAAAATTAGTTTAAAAAAAAAAAGAAAAACGGATGTTCATGATGTTAAATTAAAAAATTATAAAAAAAAAAAGAGAACCAATTTTTTTATTTGTTTATTTTCATCCAATTTATCTAATAATTGGGTAATTAACATTTTCATTTAATTTTAGAATATACCTTTCTTTTAATTCAATAGAGGAAAAAAAAAAAAAAAAAAAAAAATTTTAAAAAAAAAAAAAATAAAATGAATGAGTAATGTCCGATATATACTTTCTTTTACTTAGAAAAGCAAGCAATAAAGCAAATTTTTAAAGCGTATATAATATATATATATGTGTGTATATATATATATAAAAAAAAAAAAAAAGTAAAAAAAAAAAAATAAAATAAAATAATGGACCATTGATAAAAATCTATTAAAGAAACAATACATGCAGACATTTAAGATTTTGTCGGCATAATAAAATTTTCCAGATGAGTATTGGTGATTTTAATTTTTCTATGTGCTTGTTTTCTCTTTCGTTGTTTTGGTCTGTCTTCTGCACGAGATTTATTCTCGAGTACCGCCATAGTTTGTAAACCAGCTGGAAATTATCCAAGATTGTCGGTATAAAAGAAAAAATAATAAAATGAAAACCGATAATCTAAAAAAAAAAACTAACCGTCTTCAAGTGATTTCTTCAAATCACTCTCATCTGGTACTTTAACGTTATGAAACATGTCCACGAATTCTAAAAATAAGAAAATTTTAACATAAAATTAAAATATTAAAAAACATGTCCATAGGTGTATTATTCGTTGAGTCATTGTAAAGACAAACCTTTGTCCATAGGAGTATTATATGTTAGGTCATTGTAATATAATAATCGAGGTGATGCATCCTTCATCAGACGTATCACCATTATTTTACCCTCACTTTCTAATTCCTATTGATTGATTGAATTAGTCCAATTACATTTAAATTAATTCAAAAAAATATAAAAGTAAACCTGAATCGCATTTGACAAATCTATGCAATCGTCTAATTCCCTAAATGGCATTCCACACGAACCTCCAGCTTTTTCTTGTCTTTCTTTCAAGAGGTTTAACAAATCTTCCTTTGTTCTGATCGCATAATCTGGCTATAATAAAAAAAAAATATGATATAATATAAACGATATTTCAAAAAAAAAAAAAAAAAAAAGATTTCAATTATTTCAATTACATATTATCTACCTTGTATTGAAATGTACAATCAACACTATTATACTTAATTTTTTCATTTTTAATCATAAGGTTATAAAGTTCTTTATTGGAAATGATATCAGCGATTTTGTTTGCTTTGAGATCTTCTGCTGATTGTGGGACATCCATTCTATCCTATGATGGTGAAAAGTTGAATATGGATGAATTCACTAAGAAAGAAAAGAAAAGGAATTTACAAAGAATTGATTTATTTGCCTTCAAGAAACGAATGACTTTATGAAGCTGACTCAAAGTATGTTTTACAACGCCAGTGTCACTTGGTTGCGAATAAACTAGCATTCAAATAAAGATGATTCAATTTTTTGAGTGAACTTCGATTTTCAAAGTAAATAACTACAAGAACTAATTTGACTTACCAGGTTTTGGTTTCTTTTTCTTAGAAATTGGTAGCGGATCTGCATTCGATCTTGGTGTAGAACCTTGTGAATTAGAGGAAGACGCATTATTTGTAATCTTTGGAGAAACATAAATAGGTTGAGAGGCTAGGTGCTTTTTAAAATTAGCAATTGATTCACTACTAAGGTCCGACATGGTATACGTTCGACACACTTGAGAGCAAAAGAAAAAGAACCCGAGTTTACTTGACCGGTAAAAGTAGAGTAAAAGAAGGAGTGAGGGATTGTTGATTTATTTTCCAACTTGAAATTCGGACAACAAATATTTAATTTAAAAATGTTTTAATTGTGATATAATACAAATAATTACCATAAAAAATCTCCCAAATTAACAATAGCACAATAGCAGAATTTTTTTTAACCAATAATAGGTTTTAAAGCTTCCACGGCAGAATGATGTGCATCCGCTTAACTTTTATTGAAATAAGGAAAAAATTTTTTTTTCGTTTTTTGAAATCTCGAGTAAATTTATCAATTTCCAAATAAAAAAATTTTTTTTTTACAATAAATAAATTCACTTTACTGAATTTATCCTATATACTTGAATAATTTTTTGGTCGGTGAATTTAAAAAACGATTTCTTGAAAAAATTAAATAATCAAAAATAATCTTTTTTTTTTTATTTCATTTCATTCCTTTTTTTTTTGATGCAATTTAATAAAGCTTAAATTTAATCCATACAAAAAAAAATTGCAATTGAAAGAAATTCAAAACTAGTAAAGAAATAGATATTTAAATAACCGACATAGATATATAAGAAATTATGCAATTGTCAGCTTAACAAAGACGTAAGATAATGTTAGGAAATTAATACTGTAATAAAAAGGCTATGTACATAAAGTAAATTATACCCATTATTTCTTACTCTTTTGACTTGTAAAATCGAGTGCAAAATAGTAATAATTATTACTCTAGAAGAATATTGCTTAATGGGGAAAAAAAGAAGGAAAAAAAAAAAAAGACTAGTATGTTTCACAATTAAAAAAAAAAGCGCAACCATCCAGCTACCAAAATTAAACAAGAATTAAACCCTTAGCTGCGTGCATTAAAAAATATATTAACAGCTTTAGTTCTAATAGTTTTTTTCTTATTGGTAGATAAATAAATCTTGAACCATATTGGATTATTCATTCATTCATTTTTTTTTAATGAAAATGAATTTTCTGGGGCCTTCTAATATTTTCAATCGTGAACTTCAATTGAAGACTCGTGAACTGCGTCCCTAAATTATATATTGTAACTTGAATCGTAAAATGTGAGTATATCCTATTTATCTTCCAATTTACCCAAAACAGCTTCTAAATCTTCTTCAGGTACAACAGGACCGTTTCCTGAACATTTAGCCTTAGATTTTAGCTCAGCACAAAGTAGATCGATTTCATCACCCTCTAAATCGTCAAACTTTGGATGCTGTTGAATTCTTTCCCATACCTTATTACACGATAAGAATTTTTTACTACTAATTTCATCCATCGATGCAAAACCATTACTATGTATACCATTCATAGGGTTTCTGCGTTCTTCAGATGGTGTAGCCATTGGAGCGAAACTTCCAAATTCTTGAAAGTTTTGTTCAAAAAGTGGTGGAAGCGGGGCAGAATCAGAGAAAGGAGTATCAATATTAGGAGTAAACGGTGTTGGGTCCCGATACTCCGTGAATGCAGACGATGATCTACTAGATTCTCCTATCACTTGTGATGAGCTTAATTCTTTAACTTTTTTTTGTTCCTGACATATACCATCTGTAAATTTTTCACAAAATTCTTCCGCACTCTGAGGTTTAGAAGAATGTGAAGGTGGAGTTGTGACAACCGTAGGAGGTGGACTGATGGTAGTTGCTTCTAATGGACTAAAATTATATGCCTGTGAACTTTTAGGGGAATTTCCTGAAGATGTACCTCTTACTTCAGAGGTATAATCTGATTCTGCTGAGCCTGACATAGATGGTGAACTTGGTTCATCGTCGCTCACGTTTGAAGATGGAGGTGTATATGAATTAAATGTGGTACTACTTGTCGTTGGGACAGTTAATGTATTTGAAGTTGGCTTTGAAATCGGCACAAGAATATCACTAATATCTTTGTCGAGGGCAGTAGTCGAGTCATTTGCTTTGTCCAACGGAAAGTCAAAGGTGAAAGTTGTTTGTTTTAATATGAAATTTTCGGCTTGTAATTGTTCAACAAGCGTCTTCAACTCTTGATTCTCTTGAACACTTTTTGCAGACATGGATTCAAGTTCTTTAATTTTATTTTCAAGCTCTTTAACATAACGTTCCTTTCGTTCTCGAAACGCACGTTGTGCTGCTCTATTTTGTGCCTTGCGTTTCTATGGTGAAAGAACAATGAAGAATAAATAACAATAACAACAACAAGAAGAAATAATAACAATATAATTATATCATAAAAAAATAAATAAATAAATAAAATGTTTTTAAATTAAAAGAATTGAAAAAATAAAAAAATAATGGGGAAACTTACTGAACTAGGAGTATTGTTTAATGGCTTTCTACCCGGTTTTTTTTTCTGAGGTTCATTCGCTTGCTCAGAGTGAGAATCAATATTAGCTTCTGACGCAGCTTTTGATTAAAAAAAAAAAAAAAAAAAAAAAAAAAAAAAAAAAAAAAAAAAAAAAAAAAAATAATAATAAAATTAGTCAGTAAATTATTCTATATTAAAATAAATTGAAAATAATATATAGCGTTTTTTTTTGTTTTTACTTTCAGCCGTAAGATCTGGATGGGGCACAGAGGTAATATTTAAATTATCTAAAAGATAATAAGTTTGAGAGATTTTAGTTAAAAGGTATCGTAAATTAAAAAAAAAAAAATTTCAAGAATCACAATCTACGGCAACGGTATATATTTGCAATAGAAAGGGAGGAAACTACCAAAAAAAAAAAATTTTTACTTGAGCTAAATATTATTTTTTTAGTAAAATAAATTCAGATTTTAACAAAAAATTTTTTTTGGTAGTTTCCTCCCTTTCTACTTCAAAGCGCCTCCATATATATATATATATTATATATTGTACTTACGACTAACTTTGGACGGATTTTGTTGAGTAATATCTTCCAACATTTCTAACTTTCGTTTTTGGTCCTCGTCATATCTATACTGATCATTATGCGCAATGGCAGCGGCTAATAACTTTTGAGCTTCGAAATTATCTTCAAGATTAAAATCCCAAGGGAAGTTAGAATCTCCCATGCCGAAAACACTGTCGGAATTATCAAAGTTTGTTGAGGGGTAATAAGGTTCCATTGAAGTTAATAAAGCAGGCAGGAAAAAATTGTCAGAAAAATAAAAAGGGGTTAATCAAAAGATGATTCTGGGAAAAAATCATAAATGAATTTTTTTAACTCTTTTTAAAACATTGGATTTACCCAGTGACAATGGAAAGAATAAATGAAAATTGATTTGATTGATTTGATTGGTTATTTTCATATACGTCATTGTTTAATAAGATTCCATATAAGTGCAAGTTGATGTAGGACATGAAACTTCTGTATGATTCGGTAATATAAATGTAATAACAAAATTTCAACGGTTGGTCTTACTTTTAGAGAAAAGTAAATAAAATTGTGTGGCACGGATGACCGATTTTCCTGTGGATTTGCATACAAAATGTATTAGATTGGTGTAAACATTCAAAACGTGGGTATAAAGAACTTTTTTTGTGATATACCGAATATGTAACGTTAATTACGTTTTAGAGTTTCCGAGCCAACCTTCTCCGGCTTCGAAATGATACAAATATATTAAGCACGAGACCTTCCAAAAATATTCGCGCATCCGCAGTAGATGTATACAAAAGTGCCGAATGCCGAAGCGGCAAATTTGACCCGGAACATCCTAACTTATTTTGAAAGGAAATTATTCGAAATGTAAACAAATCTGTACAATGATAATAGGTACCTCCACTCTATCAAATTCAACTATCTTATTTGGACATTCAATACGTTGAATAAACGAGATATTATTGGACTCGTGCTAACTTATTATGGTTCTTACTTTACTTCCTTTCATTTCTTGGAAACATTTTGCATAATCTATAAATTTTGGTTTTAGATAGTAACTTTATCTTTAATATACGCCAAAAACATAATTTCACATGAATGTAAATGTAATTTTGGGATCGAAGATAAAAAAGGTTTCGTGTACCCTATTGGTATTGACATACTTTTTTGTAAACAATCTTGAAAAATTATTTTTATATATAATAAAAGAAAGGACTAGTAACCTTTTTCATGAGGTGGAATATTTTATTTCAACCTCGATCCTCGAATTATTATTTTACTAATCTTTTTAAAATCGTTAAACCTTGTTCTTTAAGTGGTCTTAACCAAACCAATTTTAATTTCAATCGTGCAATGTCTACCAAGTAATGAAATTTAAGATTTTTTAAATAATTACGATTTAAATATATATCTTTTAATTTTTTTTAAAAAAAAAAAAAAAAAAAATAGCACAGAACAAACTACAATCCTTAACTGGGCTTCTGCTGACGGTGAATTCCGCAGAAAGCCCTCTAATTTTCGCAATACAATTAGCAATGATCCAAACGCGTCCTTTTCTGCAGAAAAGTAAATTTGTACTAAATTTTATTTTTTATAAGATTAAATATTTTATTTTATTTATTTTTACTTTTTTTTCTTCACAATGCAGAGATCGTTATCACTTGTATATTAGTTGGGCCTGTCCTTGGGTAATGTTGTTTCTATTTTTATTTTTTTAAAAAAAAAAAAAATCAACGTATGATTTTATTTATTTGGTTAGGCACATAGAACCGCAATCGTCCGTGCACTTAAAGGCCTCGAAGACTTGATTGGGTTAAGTGTCGTCGATTATTTAATGGGTGAAAAAGGGTGGAAGTTTAGTACGCCCGAAGAACAACCGGGTTCCATTCCAGATGATATTAATAATGCTCAATATATTCGCGAATTATATTTCAAAGCTAATCCCAATTATGAAGGAAGGTCGGTATAATTGATTTGATTTGATATTTTTTTTTTTTTTTTTTTTTTATTCAGTGTATAAGAAATTTATATTGTTCTTAGATTCACTGTTCCAGTTCTTTGGGACAAAAAAACTCAAACAATAGGTAATTTTCGTTTTTTTTTTTTTTTTTCCACAATATAAAATTCTTGTGCCAATTGTTATCACATGACTTTCTAATACATTTTACTCGTTAGTTAATAACGAATCCAGCGAAATTATCCGTATATTTAATGATGTATTTGATGATTTCACCCCAGCCACAAAGGGCAAAACTTATTATCCCGAACATTTACGCGCACAAATCGATGAAATTAACGAATGGATTTATGACACAGTTAATAATGGGGTATACAAATGCGGTTTCGCCACAACTCAAGAAGCTTGTAAGTTTATACTATATAAATATATAATCCCAAAATTATTTAAAAAACAATTTAATTAATTTGTTTTGTTTTTCCTTATAGATAATCGACATATTGAACCGCTTTTCAAGTCATTGGATCGATTAGAAGAAATCCTTTCCAAACATGAATTTCTTGTAGGAGATACCTTTACTGAAGCTGATATTAGACTTTGGACAACCATCGTGAGGTAACTCATAAATTAATTGGCAAAAAATTTAAATTACCCAAAAATAACTTGCGTGTCACATACATATTGAATTAGATTTGACCCCGTATATCACACGCATTTTAAAACAAACAAGAAAACGATTGAACATGATTATCCTAATATTCTTCGTTGGGCTAGGCAAATTTATCAATTTCCGAAAAGTAAGGATTTTTTTATTTATTCTTTGCTATCTTAAAATATTAAGTATCACCCTTTTTTTTTTTAGTTGCCGATACCGTTAATATGCATCATATTAAACATCATTACTTTGAAAGTCACAAACAAATTAATCCAACCGGAATTGTACCAATCAACGATGGTCCAGGTACCTGATCATGTCTTGCCATTTAAAATCACAAGTATGTGGTACATATAAATTAATATTTTTTACTCTTTATTTTTAGACCTCGCTCATCCTATTATTAAACACAAAAATGCGTAAAAATGATTATACGTATATCACGTATTTGTTTGTTATAATAAATTATTGAGCTATTTTGTTTCCTCTATAAATTGGTTGATTTCTTTTACGTATCCTCTATGAATGTATGTATCCATATGCAATGCTTTGTCAAAATTTATCCATACTTTCTTTTTAGATTTCTCAGCCAATCTGAATAATTCCAACATTTGTTTCCGAGGAACAATCTCATCGTTATATGATGATAAGAATAATATTGGAGTGGTAATTCCCTGAATTGTACGTGAATTGTCCCATTTATTCCAAAGTATAAATGGTAGGCGTACAAGATATTTATATGGTAACCACTTTTGAGGATAAATGCTAAGAACCATGTCCTTTATGGAAGTAAAAGTATTCTCAATTATAATTCCTTTTAGATCTTTTTGAATATTTTTCTGGGAAGCTAAATAGAGTGCAACAGCACCTCCCAAAGAGTGTCCGTAAACATAAAGAGGATTTTTGGGGAAGAGCTCTCTCACATATTCATAAATTGCTATTGCATCCTTCTTAAGTCCGTATTCAGAAGGTGATCCAGTTGAAAGCCAATAACCTCTATAACTTATAGCGACAACATGTAAGTTTGGAATGGAATTTTTTGGAGGTAATAAAAGACGAGAGAAGAGTGGTAATCGAAGTAGTGTATTACCAGCGTTGCTATAGATCGAAAAAAAAAATTTTTATTAACGAAGCGAAATAAGTATTTTATTTCATTATTTATTTATATTTACCCTTGAAGATAAATCATCACGGGAGCATTGCTACCGTCTCGCACATCATCTTTTATAGACGTTGCCTTTGCCCTTAAAATAATTCCAACTAGCTCGTGCATGTCACTGGTTTTAACTTTTACTTGCTTACTTACTAACCTTTTATCAACCAATGACTCATCAAACGCAAGTTTGCGTCCATCCCAAGGTAAATATGGCATGTATATCAATTTATTTTGGAATAACACCAATGCGGTACACTTTATAAGAAAAAAAAGGAAAAGCTTTTTATTTACATTTCCATCGATGAAAAGATACTACATTAACATACTAAACCTTGTAAAGGTAAACTCCTAATGGAACTCCAAAAAATAAATATAACATCGTTGTCCATGAGAATTGTATCATAGGTTCATTGAAAGCTAAAGATGTAAAAATTCTTTTTTGCGTCAAACTTTGTTGTTTCACATTTTTTTGAGACTTAATCATCATTGAAGGATTAAGTCTATCAAATTTTGTATAAACATTGTTAACCAATGTTTTCTTTGTTGAAGTTGAATAATTCAAACGAAATATACAATTAAAAATCAAATCATGAAAACTTTTTTTTTGCATTATCAAAGGATGAGAAATTTTTTTTTTTAGACCAAGATCTTTGCATTATAATTAAGGTCTACCGAAACACTGTCACGTGATCATTCCGAGCTTAAAAGCTTTTTTTTTTTAAAAAAAGTGTGGATAGAACCAATAATGTAACTAAAAATAGGTAAATATCATAATCTTTCTTTTAATTTAAATCATATTACATTTATAAAATATAGATTAGAGTGATCTTTATTATCGTTAACATGTAAATAAAACTTTAATAATCGTAACATTATACAGTCATACCTCTATATAATCACGCGGTCGGGCGCACACTTTTTGTGTGTTTATATTTAGATGTGACTGTATGGAGAATCCCTCTATATAGTCAACCTCTATGTAAATCACATGAGTTGTGACTGTATAGAGGTTTTAAATTTAAAAAAAAATTTATCATGTAATAAAACAAAAGAATAATAAAAGGTGTTTATTCAAATTATTGATTTAAAATAAGAATTTATTTATATTGCTAATACGAAAATTTTACTGTCTGTTGGCATAAAAAAAACTTTTAATATTTATTTGTATTTTACTTTCAAAGAAGTTTTTTGCTAAAAATTCTCATTTCTTTCAAACTTTTTACTTTCCTGTTCTTCAAAATACAGAGGGTCGCTAAAAGTCTCTGAACACTTTTTGGCTCATTAAAAAACTTAAAATTTTATAATATGAATAAAAAAAGTTTATTAATATCTTTATTAAAATAAGATATTCGCTAAGTTTTGTATTAAGTAATTAATACTTAGTTGGACCTCCCTTTGCTTTAATCACAGCTTGAATTCGCTGTGGCATACTATCGACTAAATTTTCAATAGTTTGTATCAGAATTTTTCTCCATG